AGATAGATAGATAGATAGATAGATAGATAGATAGATAGATAGATAGATAGATAGATAGATAGATAGATAGATAGATAGATAGATAGATAGATAGATAGATAGATAGATAGATAAATAAATAAATAAATAAACAAATAAACAAATAAATAAATAAATTCTACCTTTTCTTCAGGTAGAGAAAAAACAGGAATTCCTTTCAAAAGCTTTCTGGTTACACACGTATATGTAGTTCCTTAACTGTAAACCCCAGTAAAGTCAACAGGACTCATTTCTACGTAGGCATCTAGAGACCTTCCCTGAGAACCACAAAGCATCTTACCAGGAGCCATTTCAAAGGTCGCTTACCCGAGAAGAACCTCTGATGACCTCAGACAGCTGCCGGATCGCGTTTGTGCATGTTGTGATGGTTTTGTTGGTCTCCTGTTGAGTCGTATGCCTTAAATAAAAAAAAAGAACAAAGACAACGTTTGCTGCAGAACAGACCAAGTGACTTCCAAGCACCCTCCACCCCAAGTGTATGTGGAAACTTAGGTGTGAACCTCCCCCATCCAGACTGGAATCATCATGTTTTAAAGCAGAATCATTTCAATGCTGTAGTTCTTTCTACATATAGGACTCACTTCTCTCTATCCATCCCCCCCTCTCTGAACACAAATAATTTAAGTGTACACCTAGCTTGGCATTTAGACGCAGTTAAGAATGGTTGCAAGTTTTTCAAATTTCCTACTGTAAAATACAGAATCCGACTGTTTCCTCCTTAAAAGTTATTGTATGAAAGGAAAGGGAAGCAAAGTGATTCTGTGCAAAACAAGACATAAGAAACTTATTTGATGGTTATTGTCATCACCACGCAGACCATTGTCATCTCATAATTGTCAACACACCACCACCACCATCATCATTCTGAATTTTCAAATTCAAGTATATTATGGAATGCACTTTTTAAAGCAATCTATCTCCTTTCACTTTATTTTTGCTTATTCCATCATTATCTCTTTCCCTGTTAGGAGTTCATCCCAATATCGAGAGAGAGTCTTCTTCCACCTTTCATTATAATGAGGGGTCACCCTCATGGCAAGAGGGAGGCAACTAATTATTTCCACACCTATTGACAGGAGCAATTACGATCCCATAGTATAAAATAGTACAGCTAACAAATTGAACAGTAACGCAGAACCGGTCCTGTCCTCTGTTTGATCAAAGACTGGCTTGCTGGACATGGTTGCGTTGGGCATGATCAATAAATGGGACTTACGTTGGCTTGTACAAAGTTACTGTCTTAAAAAGCAGTGTTAACTCCAGAGGGGATAAAACTTTGTTATAACAAAGCAAGTGTCATATAAATAAACATTGGCAGAAATCTTCTCCAAGGGGGACATTGTTAGGCGGATGCACACAGCACATGGACTATCTCCCCCTGCCCTGAAATACTGAAATGGGAGCCTTCCGATCAATACTATGGGAACATCAAAAACTATTTTATATATCTGGAAAACTTGTTCACTTGCTCATGCTTTCAGGTTGACCCACAAGGACCTGGTGCCAAGCCTCTGAGATAGCTGCTTGGCCCATGATGCTATACACACCCTCTGAGATAGCTGCTTGGCCCATGATGCTATACATAACCTTTGACCCCAGCCAATGGGGCATTTACCTTGAATAGAGGTCTATGTGCCTAAGAAGGGGGCATAACCCTGATCTTTGAGGTTGATCTCTGTTCAGTCATTACAGAATCCAGCATTGCCAATGCAGGTCAAGGACAACTCCATTCTCCCTGCTGTTGCCTTCTCCACGCAGGTGGTGAGTCTGAAGACAAGAAGCTACTGCTGTTGTGTGGTGTCATTGTCCGTGCATGTAGCTTACACATGTGTCGAAACCTCTCCATGTCACATGCAAGAAGCAACAGCAGAGGGAACTGGGTTAGGCATTGCCCTCTAACTGTGTTGACAGTGCTGTATTCTGTATCCTTGTGAGCTGTTCCAGTGTAGGCTTCTGTCTCAGCACCAAACTTTATCCAGATTCACCGTCTCTGATCGACAGCTGAATCACAGAAATAGATGGGTTCTCGAGGTCATCTAGTCCAGTGGTTCTCAAGCTGGGGTCCCCAGATGTTCTTGGACTGCAATTCCCAGAAGTCTTCACCAATTGCTGTGCTGGCCAAGATTTCTGGGAGTTGCAGTCCTAGAACATCTGGGGACCCCTAGTTTGAGAACCACTGACCTAGTCCAGTGCAGGAAATCTACTGCTATACCATTCCTGAAGTGTCTGCCACCTTGTAAGGCAGACTGTTCCTGCCATATCTTTAGCTGCTGAGATTGGACTCTGCAGATACTTAGCATTGTTTGCACTTCTTCCAGAAGCCCACTTGAAGCAACCTCTAGAGTGAGCTTCATTTTCCAAAGCAACAGATGTCCACTGATAGTGGGGTAGCAGCTGAGAATTTACCACCCTGTGTATTCTGCTGCTTGAAGTGACCATTCCACTGGATCCCATGAAATTGCTGATCCGGCACTACCCTTTCCTTCTCCTCATAGCTAGGGCAGGAGTACGAAAGCCAAAGATGTTTGCTGGAGAATTGCCCAGGTATTGAAATAATGAGGGGAGGCCTATCTCTTGGTCTCACCCTCCTCACAGGTGTGTTTGATGGAGACACAGGAGAAGGCCTTCTCGGTCACTCTTCCCAAACTGTAGAAATCCCCCCCACAGGAGGCCAGCCTGACGACACAGGAGAGGGCCTTCTCGGTGGCTCTTCCCAAACTGTAGAACTCCCTGCCACAGGAGGCCAGCCTGACCCCCATCTTTACTGTATTTACTTTACTCTGAATGTCTTTTTTGACGTTGCTTTTGCTTACTGGTTTTTAGTGTGGCATGGGATTAAACCGCAGAAGCCTCTGTGCTGCAAGGTCAGAAGTCCAAGCAGTCGTAAGATCGAATCCACGCGACGGAGTGAGCCCCCATCGCTTGTCCCAACCTAGCAGTTCGAAAGCATGCAAAAATGTGAATCGATAAACAGGTACTACCACGGTGGGAAGGTCACGGCGTTCCGTGTCTAGTCGCGCTGGCCACGTGACCATGGAAACGGTCTACGGACAAATGCTGGCTCTACGGCTTGGAGACGGGGATGAGCACCGCGCCCTAGAGTCGGACATGGCTGGACTAAATGCCAAAGGGAACCTTTACTTTTACCTTTTAGTGTGGCAGTTTGATCCTTCTAAGCATTTGTATACTGCTATTAGCTTTAAATATTGTCTTTTAATTGATGTAAGTCACCTTTTAAAGGAGAAAGGCAGGGTACAAATAAATAAATAAATAAACAAACAAACAAACAAATGAACGAATGAACGAATACATACATACATACATACATACATACATACATACATACATACATACATACATACATACATACATACATTCCCCCCCCTTAAAGCCAAAAGGAACCTGAGCACAGCAACAATCGCCTTTTACATACATACATACATACATACATCCCCCCTTTTAAAGCCAAAAGGAAACAATCGCCTTCCCAAATCAAAACTGCCTCTCGAGATGATTGTCCATGTGGAGCAAGAAAGCATGGAGGGACCACCTTGACAGCTAGTTCTGCCTGAATTATGCATGCCGACTTGCAGAGGCAGGCTTGGTGGCTTCCCTTCTACAGGGAATCTCTGCGGCATGAACCTGTTTACAACGGGAACTCCCCAGAGTTTTGAAAGAGCGAGCCCAGGTAGAGCAGCTGCCTGTGATTAAAAAGGGGGGGGGGAGAGAAAGGCAAAGCGATTTTATGCACAGTCCCCAGCAGCGCTGTAAATGAGAACTTAGCATACCATGAAGGCAACATCTCTCCAGCCACAGAGCAGTGCTTCGGAGGCATATTACTGAGCTAAGCATCTCTGGCAAGGGGCCCTTCTTTCTGCCTTTTTTGTGCCAGGTGAAGCATCAAAGAAGATAATGTAGAAAACAGCCGGTCTTAAAGGTGCATCGTTCCCTTAAAACCCCGGAGCGCTGGACTTTATTCGGCTCCCACATAACGTTTGTCTTCATTAATATTTTCAGTGTTTACAGCACTGTTTTTGAGTGCCTATTGATTTAATTGCTCATCTTTTTTTTTAAGTGGCGGTAGGGGAAATCCAGTTTGAACAATTCTATCTCTCCTGCCGTAGCGGCCATGCAGCACACTTTACTCAGGTAACAGTACGATGGATCACAGTGCGGTATAAAGAACCTCAATTGAACCCAGAGGGTATCAGAGAGAAAAACCCATCACTTTTTTCAGAGCCCTGATAGCATCTCCCAGTCTGGATTTGAAATTACAAGAAAACTCACATTCTGGACTACCAAAATGCCCCGGCCACCCTAGAAAATGACAATTCGTAAATACTACCCTCCCATGTATCTATTTATCAAGCTTGGGATCACATTGCCTGCCTGAAAAAAAAAAGTTTGCAACAAGGGTTGCTCGTTCATGCACTCTACAACCTGGACATTATTTTTCCCGGATAACGTGAACAATCCTGCAGCAGTTCAGAGATGAATAAATTTTATTTGCGGCCAGCTTTTCTGAATCAAGTTGTCTTAGGAATGCTGGTTTTTAATTTTCAGATTTAAAAAAATGCTTTAAAATTGATTTTAAAGTTGGTTTTCAATCTTGATTAGAGATGGGCACAAACTGCCAAGCTGGTTCGCTTATCAGCCAAACAGGTGTTTAGTGTTTCAAAGGCCCGCCTCCTTCAGCAGCCAGCCAGTCAGAGGTGGCAGCCTGGCTTCCCTGCCCCGCCTCCTTCACGCGCTGCCTCTGAGTGGGTGCCCACCAGAGGAGGTGGGGCTTTGAAGTGCCAAACACCCGTTGGCCGACAAACAAACCAGCACGAACTGCTAAATCAATGATTTGTGCCCATCTCTAATCTTAATATAGGTTTAACTATTTTTTGATATGATATTAATATAGTATTTTGAAACTGCTTTATAGTTTTATTTGTTGTGAACTACTTTGGGTCCTGTATGGGGAGAAAGCCAGTATTTAAATAATTTTAGTAAATAAATAGAATAAATAAACCTTAGCACGTGGAGAAGTGGATCTGTCATCCATGAAAGCAACAATAATGACCAATCTACAAGATCTAAAGTCAAGGGTGTGACTTTAGTACTATCCCTCTTCAGACCAGTACAAAAATTGGGGGGAAACATTAGATTTCAAACTTCTTCAGGCTGAGCACCATGGAGTATGGATTGTGATGAAAACCGGCACAAGTCAAAAGCTAACATTTCCCCCAACATAGTTTGAGAGGTCTAGTGACAACCATCCCGCTTGACTTTGGATTTCGTACAAGGACACTGTGGCGATCGCCCATGTCACTCATGCCATTCATATTCATGAGCTGATTTGCATGGACCTATGAGAGGACTGGAGAGGCGGAGTCAGCAGCCACATGAGGC